TTTTCTACTCTTTTCAAAATTTTCTTTTTGTTTTGTCGTTGACTTCATCAATTATATATAGGATTCGTAGGGAGGGCAGTGCAATTAGAATGAGGATTATGGTTTTTCTACATTTTTATAACATTTTAATTTTTTTTCTTCTTTGTCACCATTACACTTACTAAAATATACAAGAAAACTATTTTATCCTCTGCTAAATAGTATGCTTGAGGAGGAAAATGTATAGCTTTTCTGATGTTTATTCCATTACACATAATCAGTTCCTTTAAAATTAATCTGTTTCGCCCTCTGAGAATGTCACTCTTTCCTGTGTCATGTTTCTGGATCTCCAGATCGTTTTCCTATTACTTCATGAATATAATGTTGCTTCTAATTCTGATATACTCATTTGAAAGAGCATCTTTCCTTACAGAAACATTTATTTGAGAAGGAATTCTTCCTTAGTCTTTTGAAATAAAACATCTTTTTATGTTGTAGTTTTCTCTGCCAGCTCTTGGATTTATAAGGAGATTTATCATGACAAGTATTGCCTCCTATTCAAGGAGACTACAGCTCTTTCATGAGATTGTTCCTGTTAGGGTAGAAAGAAAACTAGCTTTTTGGTGTCCCCTTGAATTGGAGAATTGGATACACATGGGACTCAGATTTTGTCCCAGCAGGGAGCCGTGTCCCTCCCTCCCTTCCTTCCTCCCTTCCTTCTTCTCTTCCTTCCTTCCATACTTCCCTTGGCCCCATCTTCTCTCCCTTCCTTCCTTCCTTCCTTCCTTCCTTCCTTCCTTCCTTCCTTCCTTCTTTCCTCCTTCCTTCCTTCCTTTTCCATCTTTCCTCCCTCCATTGCTTCACTGGGAATTGAACCAAGGGCCTTGTGCATGCTAAGTATGCTCTACCACTGATGTATGTCTGTATGAGAACTGCCCTCCTTGTTTCTTTTTAGTTTGTGTGGTATAGATGCTTCCCCACCAGCCACTAACCTGGCTACTTTAACAATATTCTATAAAGTGAATGGTTTAAAATAAGTTCAATCACTCATGCTGCTGGGGACTGTAAGCCCCAGCTCAAAGTGCAGAGTCATGACCTTTGGAGGGTCTGGAGAAAACCTTCCTCCCTGCTTCTTTCTGGGCATTTCTGGCAATCCTTGTCAGCTCCTGACACAGAAAGGAACCATTCCAATTCTACCCCCACCTTCACATTATATTCTTTTCCCTGTGTCTGTGTCCAGATGCCCCTCCTCTTTTGAGGACACCAGTCTTAATCTACTTGAGCCACCGTGATCTATCATGGCCTCATCTTAACTTGATTACACCTTCGAAGTCCCTATTTTCAAATGAGGTCATATTTACAGGGGCATTAGGACTTAAGTCCATCTTCTCAGGCAACATTTCCACGCATGACAGTGTTCGTACAGGGTAGATATACCTGTAGTAACTGCCTTTATAATGGGCATTGTCACCCACATAGCAACATGCAGTTTATTTTAAAACACTGCACTCCAGAGGTCTAATTCCTCAAAGTACACCAGGGTACTTGTGATTTTATTTGTATCACTTTTTAACAGACCGGTTCCCTTTCCTTACTTCAGCCAACTGCTTCTTTATACCTATAGTCTTGCAACACTGGTTTTTACAGAAAGAAATTTATGATTCAGCCCCCTAGGTTGTTTTAAATCTAGACTACAGTTTTACAACCACTGAAACTTCCATGATATTGCATACACATGGTTAGTGACATTTCTTAGTCTTCAATATAATAGAAATTTCCTGGCTTATTTCCATCCTATTATAATTGGAGCTGCTGTAAG